CCCCCCCCCCCACAGATGGTGATTGCAGGCTCTGCTTAGCTGCTCCTCTTCTTGAAACTCCTGTAGTTAGCCAGGGCTTAGACACTGCATGCATGTATGTTTGAATGTATCTTTAAATGTAATTAGTAACATTTTTAGCTCTGAAACTTGCATACTGACCATTTTCTCACTTTGCTAAAACTAGTCTCAGAGAGACCCAAGAGATTCAGCATTTCCAATTATGAACATTGGCAAAGGAGGCTGAGTCTTAATTGAAGCAGTCTTCATCTTTCCAGAAAGGGGGATAACACCCAGGGAATCCACTTCTAATCCAACAAGTTAAGCATTGCTTCACAGCGTTGAGTTTACAGAGAGTTTTGCCTGCAGAGGAATTTTGTTATGGGCAAAAATGTAATTTTTTCTTGAATGGAGCCAGCCCTACCATTAGGCAGAGTGCAGTGTTCAGTTCAGATACTGGGTGATGTGGAGAGAGAGCAACTGGAAGACTTTGACTGTTCCCATCTGTTCAAAGGCAGAGCAGCATGTTTTACAAAATCTTTCCTGCATGTTTTATATGAGTGTGCTATTCCCAGGTAAGTCAAAGGCTGACCTCTCTCATCATCAGGGTTGGAGGAAGACTAAAATTCCACTCTGTGTGGTTTCAATCGGTGAAGTGGGCAGGAGACATTTTGTCTTGGGAAAATAAAATATCTTCTGCTAGCTCTGTTTCTGAATGCTCTTTTCTCCCCTGCCCCTCAAATCATCACTGTATTGTGAATCCTGCCCCAGCTGTATTGTCAGTAAATAGAGAATAAGCTTTTTGGATCCAAGCAGATACTTAAATTGTTACACAAAGCTCTTGGAGGATGACACAAGCCCGAATGTTGGGCTAGTATAAGTAGTATACATTGCAGCCCGAGGTGAAGGACAAGATGACACCCAAGGTATAACAAGGTATAAAATGGGGCTGTATCATCCATTGCACAAGAAAAGCAGCAGTTCAGCAGGTTAGGGGGCACAAGGAAAGCACATAGCATGCCTTGTTATCTAATCCTCTGCCACCTGCGGTAGGCAGTTGCCTCACCTCATTCCATAGTAAGGCTAGTATACCATCATCCACCATAGTTAGGCTAGTACCATCATCCTCTGCCACCTGCGGTAGGCAGTTGCCTCACCTCACTCCATAGTAAGGCTTGTCCTCTCTGCTCAATACACTCCAGGCCACATGCTTGTATCAGGATTTCTTAGTTTAGTACAAAATCCTTTCAAGCTAGATCATGATTTTTCATGCAATCTCTGATACCTTGGATGGCTACTCTTTCAAGCACATTCAGCAGCTGGAAAGATAGGACATGTTCTTGAGCTGAGCTGAGCTGCATGGCATCCTCTTTAGCCAGCCAAGTGGGGAAAGAGATCCTTGTCTCTTTTCCTTGGAAGCATCTGCTGATCCACAGCATCCTCTGCTGGCCATTGAGAGAACATTTATGATTAGTTTACTGACTGGTGCCCCAAATGTAGATCGCCTTCAAGGCTTTTGGTCTTGTGTCTGGAAGGAAAGCAACTGTTCCTTCATCAAGGTCTGCACTGCAGAAATAATGTAGGACACCACTTGCTTTTACTGCCATGGCTCAATGCTATGGAGATGGAGCCCTAGTGTTCCCTGCATTCTCTCAACCTCTATTAATGGTGCTGTATTTCTGCCAGTGTAGTCAATGTGGTGTAGTGGTTTGAGCATTGGACTATAACTCTGGAGACCAGTATTTGAATCCTGGCTCAGCCATGTAAACCCACTGGGTGACCTTGGGCAAGTCACACTCTCGCAGCCTCAGAGGATGGCAATGGTAAGTCTCCTCTGAAGAAACTTGCCAAGAAAACCCAATTATATGGTCGCCTTAGGGTCGCCATAAATCAGAAACAACTTAAAGACACACAACAACAGCAACAACAAATTTCTACCCAAGTCTTCCCTCCCATAGGACTCCTCCAGCAAACTCATCCTATGCAAGTTTATTCATAAATAAGCCCCACTGAATCCCATGGATTTTGAACTGAGCTGAGAAGCAAATATTCAGCCAATGCAGCTCCTAATGCAATTCTCTTCCCCCTAACTTTGCTGGTTATAATTCTGGCTGCTCCATTCTGTACAAGCTGAAACGTCTGGATCAATGGCCCAAAATACACTGCAGGAATAATCCAGTTTGAGACTCTTTAACTGCCCTGGCTCAATGCGAGTAAATTCTGGGAACTGTAGTTTTGTGAGACATTTAGCCTTCTCTGTCAAAGATCTCTGATGCTACAATAAACTACAATTCCTCAGAAGGTGAATTCCCTTGATCAAGATCTTCCTGCTTTAGATTTGTGTTCTTGGGGTTCTTAAATCATTATATTATT